TGGGAGCCGAGATTTGCCAAGTCGACGTCCAAGAAAACAAGTCGGGCGACGCCGAGGACGCTTGGAGCGGACGGCGCTCCGGAAACCGACCGTCGAGCGGGGCGCTCCTCCTCAGCAGGCTGGAGCTCCCGCCCCGAGCGCGGGCTCGCGGGGAACCAGGGCCTCTCGGGCTACCAGCTTAGACCGAGACGGGCTTCCAGGCCGCGCCGGGGTCAGTCGGGGCAGCACCCGAGCTCCAAGACCCGTCCGCCCGGTACCTCAGGCTCAGGAACGGCCCGGGGCCCGCGCCCGACTAACGGCCGTAACGGAAGCGGCGAGAAAGACTTGAGATGAGTCCAGAGCCCCGGAAGCGAGGTGGGCAGCTCAGTCGGCTTCCTTTCGCGCTAGTCCGGCCGTGCAGCCTCCGCCGCCGCTGCTTTGGACCGTGGACGCTTCGTTGTCACGAGCCGGAGGGAGGAGGGGGCAGGAGCCCGGACTCTCCGGGCTTCGACGCGCTGAGAGCGCGGCGCTTACGTCACGTGTCTCCAAGTCGTCCAATGAGCGCCAGCGGCGCGGTGACGTCAGCGCATCCGCTTGGAGGATGACAGCAGGCCCCCATCACGTGGTCAGGCCCACTCCAATGGGCGGTGCCGCGGCGACCTGAAGTTCCCGGCTGCCCGTGCGGCGGCGGTGGTTGGGTGGTAAGATGGCGGCTGTGAGTCTGCGGCTCGGCGACTTGGTGTGGTGAGTCCCGGCTGCCAGGGCTGAAGGAAAGACGGCGCGAAGCTGTTTTTCCTGGTTGCAGGGTTGGCACCTGGCCCAGGAATTGCTTTATTATGCGCTCCTGGCAGCGGAGAGTGGGGAAGACGAGGTGCCGCCGTGCTGCGAACGACGCTTGGGCGGAAGGGGCTGTCCGGTCCCCGGGGGACCGAGGCCGAGGGTGGCGGCAGCGGTCCGGTCTCCCAACCCCGAGGCTATCCCAGGGGAGGGCTACGGCTCTGGAGCCCGGACGCTGGCTGCCACTGCAGAGAGTTCCGTTGTCGCGCAGGTTCCCTAGTCCCGGGGTCTCTCCGGTGCTCTTCTCAAGGCAGGAGAGGCTGCCTCGCGGGGGACAGAGTCATCCAAACCCGCGTTCCGATGGGACAGACATGGGCTGGAGGCTCGGTTCCAGGCGGCGAAATCCGACTGCCCGGCGCTGCCCCATGAATAAACCGAGGGAAGGGGGGACTTCTCCTTTGCAAATGATGGCTAGGCGGTGACCAGTACCTCTCGTTCTATTCCTTGTGTCCCCGCGCAACAGCCAGAATCAAGACTGACCATTGTCTCCTTGGAGCTGCGTAGTTTCCCGACCTAGAGGAAGGTTTCCATGATCATTTGTCAAAGGCAGGCTGATCTTGTGGTGAATTAAACCAGACTTAGGGAAAGTCTCTTTAAGAAAGAACTGTTCCCAACCCTGTCACTGGGAGGGCCCAGACCAGTGACTCTTAATGGTTTTGTTATTCTTTATTCTTTCTCAGTGGAAGACTGTACGGACCGCAGGCGCACACGCACACACAGTTCTGTATTCATGTGTGAGGGTCCTGAGCCCAGCTGGGCAAGGCCCTGTAAGGACTCCAGTTTGCCTGCTTTTGTTCTGGCCCTTGAAAGTGCCAGCCTAGAGTTACAGGAGCATAAATTGCGTGTTGAGTGGGCTGAAGGAGCTGGACTGGCTTTTCCAGGGCAAGTTCTGACTCTGTATTATTTTCTCTAGGGGGAAACTGGGCCGGTATCCTCCCTGGCCGGGAAAGGTGAGTGTGTTGCTACTATTAAAGGAAACCCTCTGAAGTTATGGGTGTGGGAGAATACTAAGTTTCTTCAGTCTCTAACACTGGCTTCAAATGGGCTCATTCAGATAACACTTGGTATTTTACCTCTAGTTATCAGTCGGTTTGAAAGGTATGTCATAAACCAGATGACTGTTTAATGTACAGTCATCATGTCTGTCTTCAGTCAGAGATGGGTGTGAAATTCGTTGTTGTTTTATTTTCTTGAAATCAGTTGTAATCAGAATGTAGCATTATGTTTAAGTCTAAGAAGAAACAGATTCTGCAGAAAGAGGAAAGTCTAAATGTAGGTTAGTGAAAAGCCAAAGTATTTTTGTCCCAACTAAGTTTAAATCTTCTTTCCCTGCTACCATATGTGCTGCTCCAGTGCATATCTGCAGAAGCTGACATTCCAGATTTTTCGAGAGGTGATCCATCATAGCTTTCCAAATGTTCTGAGTTTTCAGTCTTGCTAGGAATCCAGGAAATGTCTGTAGACTCTTTCCAATATGGTGTTTCCTGTGCCTCAGTAGGTCCTTTATTTTCACCACTTCCTGTCTTAACTCTTCCTGCACCAAGAGTATTTTGAAGAATGTTTTCTGTTTCTTCATTGATCGCATATTACCTGGGGGTAGAGGTAGTATTGCTGTTAGTTTTAACTGTTTGTATACCAGGAGCCATTGCATAAAAACTACTAAACAGTACTCTACATGTTAGCCGTGGGGATCTTAGGGGACATTTGTACATTTCTTCATATCACAATAGAAAACTGCCAGATACAGGACAAATAAAAGCCTTGGTTTCTTTTGGAACATAGTTCTTTTTAAAATCTTTGTGGTTCTTTGTTTTGTTTTCAGATCACTTTTCTAGTAGACTGCTGGGTTCTCATACCTTTTTTTCCCTTTTATACTTCAGATTGTTAATCCACCCAAGGACTTGAAGAAACCACGTGGAAAGAAATGCTTCTTTGTGAAGTTTTTTGGAACAGAAGATCAGTGAGTAGTATTCCCTGAGAGTTCATAGTACCTTTGAGTGTTCCCCCAAGTCTGACCTGCTTTGGGAATATTCTAAGGCTCCTCAGTTCAGGCTTGCAGTGTGTGAAAAAAAAAAAAAAATGGTACCTCTTTCTGACTGCATGCCCAAATAATGGATGGTATTCTTTCTTATCTGGCAAAAATTGTTCTGGGGCCAATAGTAATATCATTCAGGTAAGAACCAGAGTTCATAGCTTTCTACATCTTATAGGCACATCGAAGTAGTTTCTTATATCTTCACTTAATCACCAGTTCCTATTTGCTTCTCTCTCTCACCAATTTTTTAACAATTTTGTTGCCTTGTGGATGGAACCTAGAGCTTTGCCCGTGCTTGACAAGCCATTTACCCTGAACCACGTGCCCAGCTGATCCTCTGTAGTGTGCTCTGTTTTTGAGGTACACTGAAAGCTAAGCTGTTAGTTGATAAAAGTACTTGTTTAATCCTGTTCTCATTATTAAGACAAAGTAACTTACTATGTCATTGTAATTATAAAGCTTTATTTCCTAGTGTGTGCTGAACTGAAAGAATCTGAAACTATTTCCTTGAGGGTCTTTGACATTACATCAGTTTAAGAAATAACACAGAGGAAAGAATATGTATTAACTTGGATTTGCAGTGATTTGTTTAACTTTCTCCTCAGTACAAGAGGTTGGTTCTGGCTAGGTAACCTGATTTCTTTAAGCAGTTGTTTTTTCTATTTATAATTGTTAAAAGAAAAATGTTATTTTAAGTTTAAAAAATGTTATTTTTCTGCTAAATCTGATACTGATGGCCAAAATACTAATTCCATAAAAGCAACATATAATACTGTATATGAAAGTTTCTTATAGCTTGCTTCACACATTCAGGAGTTTGTGTCAGAGCGCTCTACCAGTTTCAGTTTACATAGTATGTTGACTTTCACAATACAGATATACCCTGCCCCCATTTTCTTTTCACAAGCCAACTTACCAGCTTAGTGGTGGCAGTGTTTCAAGGAAGGTTACTCTGAGTTCTAAGAGCGAGCCTGTGGAAGAGGGAATGTTCTTCAATGCCATGAATTGAGATTGAACTATAGCTCAGTGGTAGAGCACTTGCCTATCATGTGCAAAACCTTGGATGCAATCTCCATCACCACCACTACCTCATCTGCCTCAGGAAGAAAGGAAAGTGTTATTGCCATAGACTACTTAAAGAAGATTATCCTCATAGAAAAACAGGTATTGGTGATGTTGCATGAGTCTACATTCAGTAGTGCTAGACACTGAAGGAATTCCTAGGATAGTGAATGTTGTAGTCCTCACCTTTTGAGAGCTTGGTAAAGGAAGGAGATTTAGTTAGTAGTTGAGCTGGGATAGTGTGCAGAGTAACCAAAGTAACTAAAAACTGTGGTGGAAGAGGGCGAGGTCAGTGGAGAACAGCAAAGTCTAGGAAAGATGATGGATAACAAGATGGGAATCCAGTTGGAAAGCATGAATAGAGTTTGGATGATCAGGAATGAAAAAGGCAATGTGGATCCTATTGAACTACGGAAAAGACGAGGCTTCTTGCCTGACATAATTGATGCTAGGGAATCAGAGGCAATATTAGCCACACTTTAAGATGACTAAGATGGTGTGATTTCTAAACAATAAGCTCTCTCGAGTAGGTACGTAACAAGTGGATACAAGGCAACAAGTAACTATAAATGACTTTAAGCCTCTTAGTTTCTTTGATGGATTTCCACATTAAAAAAAATTTTTAGAAGGCCTCAAAGTGAACCTAGTAGTGTGGTATGTGTTTAACATTCATGAGGCTCTGGGTTCAATGCCCAGTACTTCCCAAAAGATGAAACCCAGTGTAGGACTCAAGTACTTGTTTATTTGTTTTGTGGACACTGAACAAGTGATATGAGTTTGCAGCACTCTTGTTAAGGACAGCCTCCTCAGTGCTCAGTGTTAAAGCTGGTTTATTAGGTCAGTGTATTATCGCTGGAATGAGAGCTCCAGATCATTTGGTAGCAGCAGAGTACTTGAGGAAATAACTTGGAATGTGTTGTCTGCCTAACATGTATCAGATAACTGGTTCTACCTGCTCTCTGATCTAAGCAAACTATTTCACCTTTCGGAGCCATCATCCTCATATGGAATGCATTGTGAGAAAAAGCAGCATCACTTCTAACATGAAAGGATACATTTTTGCACTTTAGCACTGTGTCTCTCCAGAAAAACTATGTGCAGTTTAGTTATGTTTCCCAGAAGACCAGATAGAGCTAGTCAAGATCCAGAGAAGGGAAGTGTCAGACAGGAGAGTAGCCCTCTTTACTATGGGAAAACAAACCCTGGAGGGAAAAAAAAAAAACCATGGTCAGGAGTTAGGAACTAGCTCGTGGCCTTCAAGAGTTCTGCAAGGGACACCTCAAATAAAATTCATGATTGTTCAAGAACAGTGCAATGATCCCTAGTTTGTGAAGTAGTCACTTTGAAGGTATTATAGACAAATGATAACTGAATATTTTAGAGATAAAAACAAGTTTCTAAAGGGCAAATATGTCTGTGACTATGGTGGAAGCTTTAAGACTGACATTAGGATTGAGGGTAAATGTGACCCTGGCTCATCCTGTTTTGAAGACTTCATTGGTGACTTGAACCCTGACCCAGTGAATGGAGCCCAACCCATGCTATTGTATTCCTGAAAAACATAGAAATCAGTCAGATATACTTGGTTTCAAAATTGACACATGAATTAATGGAAAATGCATGTAATTAATTTTTATTTTAGCAAGGACCTTTATTGCAGAGTTAAGTAAAATTATTAATGTCTTATGATGGTCCTGGAGAGATGGCTCAGCAGTTAAGAGCATTTACTGCTTGCTTTTGTGGAGGACTGAATTTGGTTCCCAGCACTCACACCAGGTGTCTCTGACTTCCATGGGCAGTAATATGCACATAGTACGCATTAACTCACATGGCACACACTCATGCACATAAATAAAAAGCAAAAATTTTCAGTATGTGTGTGTATATAAAATATATGATCCTAAAGTTTTAGACATCTGGCTTTTCCTTTCCTTTCTTATGAAAACATCTAACAAATTACGTTGGCGTCCCACAGTTAGGAAAAGAAGGCCCAGCCTACCTCATCAGGCCTCCCTGTTGAGGACAGGACTTAATGATATAGAGTCAGCTCTCCAAGATGCACCTTTTCCCTTTTACTTTAAAATAACTGAGGGAAAAATAACTTCAGCATAACTCTATTAACTATACCACATGGCCACAGTTAAATATCAAGAATCAGTCTGTTCTTGGTTATGGCTCATCAAAGAAGAGATGAGGCTCAGAGTTTAAAATTTTGACCTGACATTAGAGAGGTGGTTCCATGAATTAGAGCACTTAACTGCTCTCCTGGAAGACCCTAGTTGGTTCCCCACACACATAGTACCTAACTCATAATTACCTATAACCCTAGTTCCAAAGGATCTGGCACCTTCTGCTTTTCACTGGTACCTGCACACATATGACATGCATGCACATGTGCATATGCACATACTTGTGCATGCAAATACAAATAAATAAAAATAAATCTTTAAAAAATTTTTTTGATCAAGGCTTAGAGAGATGACTCAGTGGTTATGAGCACTGACTGCTCTTCCAGAGGACCTGGGTTCAGTTCCCAGCACCCATATGACAGCTCACACCTGTCTGTAACTCAAGTTTCTGGGCTTCTAACAGACATATATGCAGGCAAAACACCATTGAACATAAAAAAATAAAAAGAAATTACGTATTTTATCAGTGTATGTATTTTGATTAGTGCAAGCTGGCAAAGATGAGATAAAGGTACTTGGCTGCCAGTCCACATAATCTGAGCTCAGTCCTCAAAACCCACTCAGAACCTTCTTGTAGAAGGAGAGAACTGACTCTCTGAAGTTGTTCTCTAACCTCTATACACCGTGGTGTCTAGTACATGCCCACATCCACATTCATACTATTGAAAATTTTTGGTTTACTCTCTAGCTGGAGATAGTGAAATGAGAAAATGTTCATTTAGTTTGCAGGTACTCAGAGCCACCAGTTCAAGAATACTACTGCAGGAAATGAAGTGATAACTCAGTGGTTAATAGCAATGTCTTCTCTTCCAGAGGACTGAGGTTCAATTCCTAGAACCCATATGGGGCTCACAACAGTGTATAATTCCAGTTCCATATGATCCCATGCCCTCTTCTACTCTCCATGAGCACTAGACACGCACATGGTGCACAGACATACATACGTGTAAAACATAGATACACAGCAAATTAAAATAAATGATGATAAATCAAGGAAAGGCCCTAAGGACTTTTCTCTTTTAAGAGAATACTATAGGCCAACTGGCAGCTTGTGACTAGAGACCTCAATTTCCATGGCAATCTTTATGGCCAGTTCTCCCCTCTGCTTTCAGGAAGTGGATAGAGATGGTGTTCTTACTCTTCTCATGTGAGGACCAGGGATTGCAAATTTAAATGGTAAGATGTCCAGGATCCCGGACTGAGGAGCTTTTTAAATCAAGCCATATCAAAGATGAGCCAAGCCTCACTGATATAAGGTGTAAAGAACTAAATGATGTAGTTGTTGATGAAGAACATACTGGTTGGAAATGTGTGAGCATACCTTTTTTCACCTGCCATCGAGCTATCCACTTTCTCTCTCATATCATTCATAGTTGGAGATTGGAGCTAAGTGAGTAGTGAGATCCAATGTTCAACCTGTCCTGCGCCAGGGCTGCATAGTAGTTGTCCTGAATAGAATGGATTAGATTCTTCTCCCTAGTAACAGGAACAGTCCAATAGTGACTCCCTCCATGACTGATGACAGTGTCATGAGTGAGCAAGTGTCATGTAATAGAATTATAGAAACATGCCCGTAGAGGAGTGATGACTATTGCTTAATGGAGGCAGCATAAGTAGAAAGGCACTTGAGGTTGTTACCAGTGTCCTTGTTAGTTTCTGTTGCTGTGATTAAACACAACCAAAAACTATTTGAAGGGAAGGATTCTTTCAATATTATGCCTCTGGGTCACAGTCCATCTTTGAGGGAAGCCAGGCAGGAACCATGGAAGAATGCTGCTTACTGACATATTCAGTCAGTTATCATACAACCCAAGACCAACTTCCTAGTTGTGACATTGCACACAGGGGTTGATCAACCATCAAGACATTTCCCCATGAACTACAGTCCAATGTGATCTGAGTTCTCCCTCATTTAAGGCTCTCTCTTCTCAGGAGAAGGACCTAATCCATGCTTGGTTGTATCAAGTTGACAATAAAAACTAAGTACATCAAGTTCTAGAAACAAAGTTTTCTAAATTCATCCTAATTATAAGTCTTTTGGTGTTTTCTTTTGTTTTTGGTGGCAGTGATGGTGATACTTTGTTTTGTTGTTCTTGTTGTGGTTTTGAACTCCTGATCCTCTTTCCTCCACTTCCCAAGTGCTAGAATCAGAGGAGTGCACAGCCATGCTTGACTTTGTTGATGTCTCTAAGGTAAACATTCTTGAAGTGAACTGAGACATTTCCATGTTGCCTTTGTTTGCCTATGTGTGTGTCTGTTTCCTCATGCCTTCATTTCTAACTAGCTTAAAATTGGAGATGACACATGTCATCTTCAGCCTCTAAGGACTACTCACATCTCCAGATAGAGAAGGAGACCTATATAGTCTGATGTGGGCTTTCTGCTCCCGTGTCTTTTTGTATGTTTTCCCCATCCACTCCTGTTTTTGTGTGCTTCCATTTCAAAGCTCCAGCCCAGGTTCTTGTAAGGTTCTTGGATCTGAGCAGTGACTAAGACACATGTGTGAGGTTGTCATACGGTTTTTCACTTAAGGAGAAAGCAGCTCCAAAGTATGGGCATTTTTATTTAAATGGAGTTATCTTGAGAATGACTTAGTGGCAGGTCTGTCTTCCATTTGAAGAATTTGTAGAAAGTATGACAAGACACCAAGGAATATGCTGTCAGCCATGTCAGATGAACTCAAAGCAACAGCCAGGTTGAGTTTCCCACTACAGCTGGCCTCTAAACCAGGAGTCTATGGCAGCACCTGCTGAGAGGCTGGAATGGACTACATAAAGGTCTTAAATTAGTATTCTTGGTAATGTTAATAGTTTTTAAAATGAATCTGAAAATAATGAGATGATTCAATTTTTTTTTCCTTCAGCCTTTCAGGGAGACTAGTTTCTCTTTTGCCCCCACCCCTTTGTTTGTTTGTTTGTTTGGTTGGTTGGTTGGTTTTTCATTGTTATTGTTTTGGAATTTTTCCCGTTTTCGGTTTTCTAAAACAAGGTTTCTTCTGGAACTCACTCTGTAGACCAGGCTGTCCTCAAACTCAGAGAGCTGCCTGCCTCTGCCTCCCAAGTGCACCACCACAACCCAAGGTTCTAGTTTCTTTTTTGTTGTTTTTATAGGTTTTAGTTTTTGTTGTTTAGAAAGGACCTTTTTGGTTTCATTTTGTTTTTGAGCCAGGTCAGCCCTGGCTGCCCTGGACGTCACAAGAGAACTGCCTGCAACCAACTCTCAGGTAGGTGCTGGGAGTAACATACTCAGCTCAGGTTGACTAGGTTTTTTTTGGATTGTACCATCCCAGAGATACAGAATCAAGATTTGCTTATTCCTCTTATGTAGCTAATAGCATATTACAATACACATAGTGCTCTTTCTTCTTTTTACATTTAAGAAATATCTGATTGGGTGACGGCACAGGTTTCCAGTTCTTGTTTTCCAGCATTTACTACCAGAAACAATGTATAATTAACTCCCTTGTATATCAAAGCAAGACTTCATACTTTAGGCACAGACTGGATGAGTTTGTTATTTTTTAACTTCCTGATCTATGGCAAAGTGGTCTCAATAGGTACAGCTTCTTCTAAGTCCAAGGAAAAGGTTGTGAGACAAATCACAATAGCTCACTACAAGTAAAGAAACAAAACAGCTGTATAAAGCTGAGTGTCTAGCTTACTGGTAGACCACATGGCTAGCATGTGTAAACCGTGGCTTCATATTAGCACCACCACCACTATCATCCACCCCACACAAAAGAGAACAGTGTTTATTTAAAATGCCATCACAAGAGCTAGGACTGGAACTCAGTAGAGTGTCTGCTTAACATGCATAATGCTCTGGATTTGATCCTGATCACTCATTAATCAGACATGGTGATACACCCCTATAATCATAATTCTAGCACCTGAGAAGTCAAAATAAAAGGATCAAAGATTTAAGGATAAATTCATCCTTAGTTACACATGGAGTTTGAGGCCAACCTGGGCCACCTGAGAACCTTTCCTCCAAAAATTAAAATTAGTATGGTGATGAATGCCTTTAGTCCCAGCACTTGGGATACAGAGGCAGACGGATCTCTGAGTTCCAGAAAAGCCAGGGCTACATACAGTCATGTTCTCAAAAACTCAATAAGTGCCAGGCGGTGGTGCCACACGCCTTTAATCCCAGCACTCTGGAGGTAGAGGTGGGTGGATCTCTGTGAGTTTGAGGCCAGTCTGGTCTACAAGAGCTAGTTCCAGGATAGGCTCCAAAGCTACAGAGAGACCCTATCTCAAAAAAACAAGAAAAAAAATCAATAAATGGATGAATTTAAATTAATTTAAGGCTAGGGCTGGTAATGTACACACCTTTAATTGAAGCATTTGAGAAGCTAAGGCAGGCAGATCTCTATGAATTTAAAGCTAGCCTAGATGACAGTGAAAACCAGTGGTCTAGACCCTGCCCTCCCACTTATTTATGTATTTTATTTATTGAAAATTTTTATTTTTTTAACGCTGAAGAGTTACCCAGCCAAGGGACTGGAGAGATGGTTCAGTGGTCAAGTGTGCTGGCTGCTCTTCCAGAGGACCTGGTTTGATTCCCAGCATTCACACACCAGCTCACAACCTTTTATAACTCCAGTTCTAGGGATACCACCTTCTGGCCTCCATGAGTAGTACTAGACACATGGTATGTCAACATACATGTGGGCAAAACATCCATACACATGAACTAAAGCAAGATAAATTAGTTATCCAGCTGAGCATTTTATTTAGCACCTTCCCACCCACTTGGCAAGCAGTTTTTCTAGCCCCTAAAAATGGCTGGAAGAAGCTATCATGGAAGCTATCATTTACCGGCCCCAGTTTCATGCCAACCTAGGCTGCTTTGCTGTTCCTCCAGGATTTGAAGTCTTACTGAGATTCCAGCTAAAAGGCACCATAATCGCTATGGAACACATTTTGTTTGGATGGCAGAAGTGATTTGTGTGTAGTTTGCTTTCTAGAAGTGATCCTTCTGAACTCTAGTGAGCTGGCATTTTATTGACTATACTCTGGTGGGGCAGCATGCCTCCCTGGCACTTGATCAATTTCCTGAGTAGATTAACATTTCTCTCTTTTCTCCTCTCAAAGTCATATTTGTATTGTAATGTCAAAATACATTTGAATATTTCAAAGATCATTGTATCGAGGATATTTTCATTATAGTTTCTCAAAGTCCTGACAGGAAGGTGAGTAGAAATTTGTGTATATTCTTTTTTCTTACAGAAATCTGTCTAAAACATTTTGACTCAAAAAAATAGGGGCTAATTTATTGGCATTCTTCAGAGAAATCTTCACCTCTGCTTTTTCTCTGAATCAGGTTGGTGGGAGGAACAGGCATGGCAGTGACCAAAAGGAATGAATAGGGTAATTGCCTGTGGTGCATGTAACCTAATTTTACAGCTCGGGGAAGGATGGACAGTGTGGATCTTGAGAACCATGACTGTTTAGGCTTTATCCCTGACACTGGTGTAGTCTCAGAATTGAGCCACCAGTTAGTACTGCAGCTTTACTACCTTTACCTCTGTCCTTAGAGTTCTATAAATACAGTGAGAAGTCGGGGTTGGGGTCCCAAGGACATACTAGCCAGCATTGGGAGGTTAGTACCTTAGTCCATGTTTCCTCCCTGTGGATTGGATTCATGCCTCTCTTGTAAGGTTGCAAACTATAGCTGAACTAGCCACTAAAAAAATGTCACTGCACTGCTGTTGTTGACCCTGTGTGCCAGAGACCAGTGTCTGTTCCTTTGTGGTTTTTGCCTTAACCATAGATACCATGCCTGCCCTAGTGTGCTGCCTAAAGCTTGTGGGCCAAGGTCTAAGGACTACCATATTTGTTCTTGACCCATCCTCACAACTGCTCACACAACACTCAGAGTGCAGGAAGATGGAGGTGGATAAAGTACACTTGGGCCATAATGGGTTAATATTCTCTGGCTTTCTCTAAAGAATGAAACTTCAGCTATTGTTGTAACCCAGTTTCTGTATTCTTAGCCTGGCCCACTTTTTCTGAAGGTTATTCTATGAGATCCTATGAGTATTACAGGAGAAAACATATGTAAATTAACCGATAATTTGTCAGGTACAACTGATACCTGTAATGTGTTCTCATTTGTGCTTGGAATCAGAACAGCATTTGGGGAAGCTGCAGAAAACCTACTACAGAAGACTTGTTTATGTTCCATGACAGGCCAGATACTCCAGAACTAACAGCTAACTGTTTTGGGTTTTGCTTTTTACTTTAATGTGATACATGTTGACAGTTAAAATTAGCAATTAGAGAAGTTCATTTTGCCTTTCAAGAAGAATGTCGTTTAAAGCCTCCATTTGTGACTGCTCCCCTCATCCCAAACCATATGTGTGTGTGGTTTAGTAGCAATGGATATCATCATTAAGGAACAAATTTAGGCTCACTGGCTACAAATATCTAAAGAACAGCAAACTTTAGATGTTGCTTTTGGGGTAGAGTTCTCAGTTGATAAGTAGTTCAATCCCCA